GAGCCATGGACGCAAACGCGATGACCTGGCTTCTGGACACGATGCGGATGCACTTAAAGGCGAAGGAGCTGCAGCGGGATATCGCGTGTGGGGAACGCTACCGCGACCTAGAGACAGTGGAGTGGCAGAAGAAGTCCTTGGCGCGGATTGAAGAACGGTATGACCTAAAGATCGACGAGGGGTGGGCGGCATACATGGCCATGGAAGCGCCAGAAGGATTGGTCGAAGGAGATGGAGAGGCAGGAGAGGACTCACCCAAGAAGCAGGAACGGGGGCCCGAGGAGGAATGGATAATAGGAGGAGGAATGGATCCTGAATCAGCTGCTGCCTTACAGGAGGTGTTACAGCAGCATCGCGGGACCTTCGCATACACCCTGCAGGAACTGGGGAAGTGCACCACGCATACTCACCACAGAGGTTCCCATCTATCAGCGGAAGCGGCGGATGAGCCCAGGGGACCTAGATATTTGCACGGAGAAGTGTCGCGAGCTGCTGGAAGCGGGACCGATCCAACGTTCCGAGAGCGACTATGCCGCGGCAACCGTAGTAGCTTCACGGAAGGATCTGACAGGGGCGGTCTCCGCGCGGAGGATGTGTGGAGACTATCGGAGCTTGAACAAGGTTACCGTGGCTGATAGGTATCCCATGCAGTCGGCAGAGGAGATCTTTGATAAGCTGCACGGAGCATCGGTGTTCTCCACACTTGATCTCAGGCAGGGATTTAATCAGATTCCCATCCGGTCCGCCGACCGCAAGAAGACGGCATTCCATGGACCAGACAGTTTGTACAAGTGGCGCTTCATGCCTTTTGGAATGAAAAACGCGCCTGCGCTGTTCCAACGAGTCATGGACACAACACTTCGCGGAGTGCCAGCGGCGGCGTGCTACATTGACGATGTCGTGGTTTTCAGTCCAGACCCGGCCCAGCACGTGAAGGATGTGCAAGCAACGCTGGATGCCATTCGGGAAGCCGGACTCACGTGTCACCCGAAGAAGTGCAGCTTCGGGAATACCGGAGTAAAGTACCTGGGGTTCGAAGTGCAAGGAGGGCAGCTGGGGATTCAGCAAGCGAAAGTGGAGGTTCTGGACCCGGTGCCTCAGCCAAAGGACACGAGCACCTTGAGAGCCATGCTCGGATTCCTCAATTACTACAGGAAGTTCATCCCGAACTTCAGTAGGACCGCAGCGCCCTTAAATCGACTACTGAGGGAAGATCAGCAATGGGAATGGGGAGAAGCCGAGCAGGGGGCACTACAGGTGCTGCTGAAAGCTGTGAAGACGGCCACGGTGCTGACGCTGCCAAGCCCAGAGGACCCATTTGTGTTGTACACCGGCTGGAGTAGCGCGGGTATGGGGGCATTCCTGTGTCAGAAGCGGGAAGGAGAAGAGAAGGTAGTCGCCTTCGCCAGTCGGAGTTGTAACCCCGCCGAGGCTAACTACAGCTCGTACGAGGGCGAAGGGCTAGCAGCCGCATGGGCTATCACTCACTTCCGAGTGTACCTACAAGGGAGGCAGATGCGGAGACACATCAGAGAGTGGGTGGCCAAGTGTGAGCTGTGCAGTCGGAACAAAGCGGAACTGGAGCGAGGGAGGAAGGAGCTGCAGTCACTGCCTATTCACAGCATAGGGTTCCGATGGTCTCTGGACCTGGCTGGAGAGATGCCCATAAGCAGAAGGGGGAAGCGTTACATCTTAATCATGATCGAGCATGGCAGCAAATGGGTCGAGGTGAAGGCCCTCCCCAGCAAGAACTCGGCTAAGATAGCCGAAGCGTTCGAGGAGCAGGTGCTTACTAGATTTGGGGCATGCGGGGAGGTGCTAACCGAACAAGGGACAGAGTTCATGGGAGAGTTTGATAAGCTGTTGCAGTCTACGGGGATTACTCACAGAAGGACCTCTAGATATCACCCGCAGAGCGACGGACTCACAGAGCGCTTCGTCCAGACAGTGAAGAGGGGGCCAAGGGCTTACGGGGAGCAGTTTAAGAGGGATTGGGACATACGGCTCCCGTGGGTGGTGGCAGGCTACAGATTCAGTAAACAGGCGACGTTGCGAGACCTCACGCCATATTACCTACTCTTAGGGAGAGACCCCGTGTTACCCGTAGATGCGCCAAGAATTCTCACAGGGTCCGTGCAAGTGGCCAACGAAGAAGAGTGGGTGGGGTTGGCGGAGGCAAGGGCGAGGTACCTGAGGGAGCTTTTACCAGCGGCACTAGAAAACTTACACGTGGCGCAGCTGAGAGACGCGCAGAGGTACAAGAAGAGAGGAGAAAGGCAAGAGGGGAAGAAGGATAAGACCTTGGGAGCAGGGGAAGAAGTATACCTGAAGCAGGCGAAACACAACCTCATGGACATCGGGCTGAGTACGGAGCGCTGGAAGGTCAAGGAGATCAAAGACTCTGGGGTAGTGGTGCTGGTGGGGGCACAGGGGCAGAGGAGAACGGATCACTGTACTAACGTGGCGCGAGCAAGAGGGCGGACCGTGGAGGACGCGGCAAGACAAACAGGAGACTAAAAGTTCCTGCGGCAGTCGGCCGGAGCCAGGAGACAACCACGGAGGGGGCAAGTGGAGAAGGCACAGGAAAAAGGGGAGGAGTGGCAGAGAACTACAGACATCACTTAGGCTCAGAGGAGGGCACCACTCGGAAAGACTGTGCTGCAAGGCCCACTAGAGGCAAAGAAGGAGTAGAAACAAGACTTGGCAGAGTAGAGTTGCAAGATTCCGACACGACGCCATCTTCGTTGTAGTCGACAAGTTCTCTCGAGCAGTGCACTTCATCCCCACGCACGGCAAGATCACAGCAGAGGAAGCCGCGACACTGTTCGTAGATAACGTAGTCCGACTGCACGGGGTTCCAGATTTCATCATTTCCGACCGAGACCCTCGTTTCACTTCGAAGTTCTAGAAGCAACTTTTCACACGGTTTGGGACTCGCTTAGACATGTCGTCTGCATACCATCCAGAGACAGACGGACTGACTGAGCGTGTGAACCAGACCTTGGAGCAGATTCTTCGCAACATCATGATGCACGACGCAGCCTCATGGGACAAGAAGCTGAGCATGGCCGAGTTCGCCTACAACAACACCCATCAATCGTCCACAGACATGTCACCGTTTTTCGCACAGTACGGTCAGCACCCCAATGTCCCCACTTGTGCCGATCTCACACCCACTATCCCTCGTGCGGACAACTTCCACCAGCATGTCACCTTCATTCATGATCACGTAAGGAAGTACCTTGAGCTCGCAAATGCACGCATGGCACGCACCACCAACCGCAGTCGTCGTGAGGTGTCGTTTGCAGTCGGCGACCGTGTTCTCTTGGATAGCCGCAACCTCCGACTGCCACAGGACAGCAAGCTCTGTCCACGTTTCATTGGTCCATTCGTCATTGAGCGCGCACTTGGTCCAGTCGCATACCGCCTCCGCCTTCCCGCTCACTTCCGCATGCACCCGTCCGTTCACATGTCTCTCCTTCGTCCATACACTGATCCCAACGCCACCTTTTCGGGCCGTGATCGCACTCCACTGCCGGTGGCTGTTGACACCGACGAGCCCGACTATCAGATCCAGCGCATCCTCTGGCACCGTCGTCGTCTCCAGGGGGGTGTCTCTTTCATCGACTTCTTGGTTCGTTGGCATGGTTACGACGCAGCAGACGACAGCTGGGTTCCTTCGTCCTCGCTGTCTCCCAACAACGCTTGCCTCCAGGCGTACCTCCAGTCTGCAGGTGCCGCGGACGTCGCCTCCTTGGGAGGGGGGTAGTGTTAAAGGGGGATTTACTGTTCACTTTGAACAGTACTTTCCAACTCACCCTTATCCTTATCTTCCTAGATTTTCTAGTGCCACATGGCACTCTACTTTCTTTGCCTTCTAGTTCCTAGTCCCACAACCCACTTTCCCACAATTGCTCTTGCATGCTATATCAACCTTGCTTGTATTCCCTCATATCAATCAATTCTCATTCAACTCTTCAATTACTTGGTAACTTCTTCGCCTATTTCGACAACACTCTCTTTCGCCAAAGTCTTCCGCCGCGTTTATCCTCGACTTAGTCGACCCCGCTATTTCTTAGCGGATTTAGGCAAGCGGGCCTAACAGCGTTGTTGGTGTCAGAACATTATAGCTTATGCTTTTGTGTAGGCTGTAGTGGGGTATCCCATAGGGGGTACAACCCAATTAGGGTTAGTACTTGTACCCACTTCATTCATAGTTCATTCATTCTCGTTTCTTCTCATGGTATCGAGTAGGTTCCCTCGTGGGAACTGATCCTAGGGCCCACCAAGTCGAGATTTTTTTTTTTTCCTGCCCGGAGCGCGCTCCGCTTAGGCCCGAGTCGCGCCTCGTGTGCCCTCTCTACCGTCGCACCCTTCCTAGGCCTTCCTCGGCCCCGTCGCGTCGCCCCTAGCGGCCTCCCTCGAGCCGCCCTTACTCGGCCCGTTGCCGCCCTTCGAGGCCCGTAGCCGCCCTACGCAGCCCGTCGCCGCCCTTTACTCGGCCCGTAGCCGCCCTTACGCGGCCCGTCGCCGCCCTAAGCGGCCCGTTGCCGCCCTAAGCGGCCCGTCGCCGCCCTTCTTCGGCCCATCGCCGCCCTAAGCGGCCCGTCGCCGCCCTTCTTCGGCCCATCGCCGCCCTTACGCGGCCCGTCGCCGCCCTAAGCGGCCCGTCGCCGCCCTACTCGGCCCGTCGCCGCCCTACGCGGCCCGTAGCCGCCCTACGCGGCCCGTCACCACCCTCACTCGGCTCGTTGCTGCCCGTTGCGGCCCGTCGCCACCCTTCCGCGGCCCGTCGCCACCCTTCCGCGGCCAGTCGCCGCCCTTACGCGGCCCGTTGCCGCCCTTTCCGGCCCATCGCCGCCCTCAGCAGCTCGGCGCCGCCCTTCCCGGCCCTTCGCGCCGCCCTAACGGCTCGGCGCCGTCCTCTCACGGCCCGCCGCCGCCGCCCTTCGGCTAAGCCCACCGTGCGCTACCCTACACGGCCCCAGCGCCTCCTCCACCTATCCCACGGCCGCCCCACCTACACTCGGGCCGTCGTCACGGAGGCAGGAGCCGCCGCAGCCGGGCCACCGAGCCGCCCAGCAGCCGAGCCGCCGAGCCGCCCAGCCGCCGAGCCGCCCAGCAGCCGAGCCGCCCAGCAGCCGAGCCGCCAAGCCGCCGAGCCGCACTGCAGCCGAGCCGCCCAGCCGCTGAGCCGCCCAGTAGCCGAGCCGCTGAGCCGCCGAGCCGCCCTGCTGCCGAGCCGCCCGAGCTGCCCCGTCCGGTAAGCACTCCGCCTCTTTCACTGCACTGCCCTCACCCTACTGTCTGCACTGCTAGTCTACTGTTGTCATGGCTACCCCTAGTGTCCTCGCTTTTGACGCTGAGGGTCGGACCATTGACTTTGAGGTCTGGGTAGATGACCTGCAGCTGTTCTTACATTGCGATAGGGCAGACGGCCTCTCTCTCTTTGACCTCACCTCTGGCGCTTCCCCTGCCCCTGCTGCTGATGCTGACGCCACTGTTCGCTCCTAGTGGGCCACGCGCAACGCTGCTGCACGTCTTGCTGTGCGTCGCCACCTCCCTACCTCCGAGCGTGCGCACTTTAGTCAGTACAAGAGTGCTCAGACCTTGTACGACGCAGTAGTTGCACGCTACTCCTCCCCTGCCTCTGCTGCACTGAGCCGTCTCATGCTACCGTACCTCTTCCCTGACCTTGCTGCCTTTCCCGCATTCGCTGACCTCGTTACGCACCTCCGCACTAGTGACACTCGCTACCGCGCTGCGCTTCCTGCTGACTTCTGCGCCAAGAACCCCCCCCCCCCCCCATGTACATCACCCTCTACTTCATAGTCACCCGACTCCCTGACTCCCTTAGAACAGTCAGGGACCACTTCCTCGCAGTGTGCCCCACCACTCTTACCATTGACCTCCTCGAGAAGGCCCTCCTAGCGGTGGAGAAGAGCATAGTCGCTGTAGGAGCCTCTCGTGGTGAACCCCGCACCCCTGTCTTTGAGGGGTGTTCTCCCTCCCCCCTCTTGCCCTCTGTTGCTTCTGCTGCTGCGGCCGACCTCGTTGGTTTTGAGTCGGTCGGTGCTGCGTCTGCCCCTTCGGGGAAGCGCCGCACATGCAAGGGCAAGGGGGGCAAGGGCGCTGGAGGAGCTGGCGAGGGCGGTGGAGGTGGCGGTGGAGGCGGCGGGGGGAGTGGGGGTGGTGGTGGGAGTGGTGGAGGGGGTGTGGGTACCGGTGGTAGTAGTGGTGGCGGAGGCGGCGGCGGTGGCGGAGGGAGCGGAGGCGGCGGTGGTGGCGGAGGCGGCAGTGGTGGCGGAGGCGACGGAGGCGGCGGATGAGGCGGAGGTGGCGGTGGAGCTGGTCATGGGTCTACGCAGAGGAGTGGCTCTAGTGGTGGTCCGCGCCAGCAGCAGCAGCGCGGTCGTGAGACCCTGTCCCCTCAGCAGCTTTGTGAGTGGTACACTGCACGCCAGCAGGGTGGGGGTTTTGGTCCGTGCACCTACGTCCTACGCACCGGCGACCGTGCGGGTGAGCAGTGTGGGGGTGCGCACCCCACCCAGCGCTGCTTTGGCCGCCTGACGGACGCGTGGCGTCACCAGTTCCCTTAGGCCACAGAGATCCCTCGCTGGGGCGAGCTGTCAAGGGCGGGAGTTGCCATCTATGATCTTGATTTTGATGCTATTCTGTCTGCCATGTATGCTGTGACTATTAGTGATGAGGGTGACTGTTACTGGTGTTTCCCGCCCGATCCGGGCATTGAGACTGCTGCTCTAGGTACTGGTGCGGCTGCTGCCCAAGGTGCTTGCGACGCTTCTGCTCTAGGTGCTAGTGCGTCTGCGTCCTCACGTACTGGTGAGTCTACGCTCTCAGGTACTGCGTCGTCTTCGGCCTCCCTCACCTTCACCCTTGACTCCGGGGCTTCTCGCTCCTTCTTTCGGGACCGCACCACACTCACGCCGCTTAGTCGGCCGGTTGCGGTGTCTCTGGCTGACCCCTCTGGGGGTCCTGTCCTGTCTCACTTCTCCACAGTCCTCCCGTGTCCGGCAGCTCCCTCTGGCACCCTGTCTAGTCTCTACCTCCCCTTGTTCTCTACGAACTTGGTGAGTGGTGCTGACCTACAGGATGGGGGAGTGCACCAGTTCACTCCTGCGCGTCAGCGAGTGACGCACTGCACAGAGGCTCGCACAGGCCGACACTTGGCTACGTTTACACGTCAGCCGGGGTCGAGCCTGCACACACTGACCACTGCGTCTCCTCCAGTCACTGAGTCTGGCCGGGTAGCTGCGTCGGGTCAGGTGTTTGCTGCAGCGTCCAGGTCTGGCCCTGAGTCTGCCCCCTGTTCGTGTCGTCTCCTGTCTCACGAGACTCTCCTCTGGCACCACCGCCTTGGTCACCCCTCTCTGCTTTGTCTCAGAGGCATGGCCTCACGCCTTCTTGTTTCTGGTCTCCCCCAGTCCCTCCCTCCCCTTCCTCCGGGGCCTGGCCCTACCTGTGACCCCTGTGTTGAGGGGCGCCAACGGGCTGCCCCTCACTCCTCCCAGTTTCCTCCGACAGAGGCCCCGCTGCAGACGCTTCACATGGACGTGTGGGGCCCAGCCCGCGTCCGTGGACAGGGTCACGAGCGCTACTTCCTGCTCGTTGTTGACGACTACTCGCGTCACACCGCAGTCTTCCCCTTGCGCAGCAAGGGTGATGTCACTGAGGTGCTGATCGACTGGATCCGCGCAGCTCGTCTCCAGCTCAGGTAGAGCTTTGGCTCAGAATTTCCTGTTCTGCGTCTACACTCGGACAGAGGCGGAGAGTTTTCCTCTGGCCTTCTGAGAGCCTACTGTCGCGCACGAGGCATCCGTCAGACCTTCACGCTTTCGGACTCTCCGCAGCAAAATGGGATCGCTGAGCGCCGCATTGGCATGGTCATGGACGTCGCTCGTACGTCTATGATGCATGCGGCTGCCCCCCATTTACTGTGGCCGTTTGCGGTGAGGTACGCGGCGCATCAGATCAACCTCCACCCCAGGGTCTCCAGGCCGGAGACCTCCCCAGCCTTGCCGTGGACGGGGAAGGTTGGCGATGCGTCGGCGTTCCGGGTCTGGGGATGTCGGGCGTTTGTCCGCGACTTGTCTGCGGACAAGCTGTCCCCTCGTGCTGCTCCTTGCGTCTTCCTGGGGTTCCCCCCTCACGCGCCTGGGTGGCAGTTCTACCACCCCACCTCTCGCCGTGTTCTATCCTCCCAGGACGTCACGTTCGACGAGTCGGTACCCTACTACCGCCTCTTCCCCTACCGCACTCCGTCCCTCCCCCCCCCCCCCCGCTCTTCCTTGTACCAGGCCGGTAGACCCCCTCCCCCCTCAGGGTCCTGCCCCTTCAGGTGTGTCCCAGGTAGACGCAGTCGAGCCTGTCGAGGTTACTGGTGACTCTGGTGCTGCTGAGGGTGCTGAGCCTGGGGGTGCTGAGCCTGGGGGTGCTGAGCTTGGGAGTGCTGAGCCTGGGGGTGCTGAGCCTGGGGGTGCTGAACCTGGGGGTGCTGAGCTTGGGGGTGCTGAGCCAGGGGGTGCTGTGCCTGGGGGTGCTGAGCCTGGGGGTGCTGTGCCTGGGGGTGCTACACCTGGGGGTGCTGAGACTGGGGGTGCTGAGATTGGAGGTGCTCCGCCTGGAGGTTCTGAGGGTGCCTCGTCTCTGCGGGAGCCACTCTCTCCACAGGAGCTGCGCGGGTGGTTTGCCCGGCGCTGGAGGCGTGCTGCTGGAGCTGGAGGTTCTTCGGCTACTGAGGGTGCTGCTGTCGCGGAACCCGGAGGTGCTCGTCCTGGGAGGTCTAGAGCTGCCGGGCCTGCGGGTTCGACTTGAGTTGGTGCTGCTGAGGGTCTTGACGCTGAGACTACTGCTGGCGGTCCTGCTGGGGGTACTACTGGAGCTACTGGAGGTTCTGGAGCTGCTGGAGGTGCTGCTGGAGCGGGTGCTCCTGCTGGGGGTACTGGTGCAGTCCCTGGTCTGTCTGGCGTCGCCGAGCGGCCTCGACCGTACTTCGTTCCACTACTGCAGCAGGTTCTTGGTCCTCCTCCTTCTTTAGAGTGTCCACAGCCTGTCCCGTCACAGTTACAGTTGCAGCCTACCTCCCCTTTGCCTGCTCCTTCTCCCTACACTGGTCCTACTGGAGGTCTTGCTGAGCGTCGTGAGCCTGCGTCTCGCCCTGCGTCGCCTGTCCGTGCTGCTCGCACTAGTGGTCATGGTTCGCGTCAGCGTCCTCCTCCTGTCCCTGGCACACACCGGATGTCTCTGCGTCCGTCTACTGCTCCTCTGCGTGCCCCTTTGCCTTCTCCTCCTGAGTCCTCTCTTCCTACTCTTGCCGACCCGGAGTCGGACTCTCTTCGTGCTGCCAATCCTACTGTCACGCGTCTCATTGCTACTGTTGTCACTGACCCTTCCTTTGAGTCCACTGCTGCATCTGCCCTAGTTGCTGAGCTCGTCGACTTTGCTGCTCGCTGTCGCCTAGACTACGCTGCTAGTCTTGTTGCTGAGACTGAGTCTGTCTGTCCTTTGTCCGTTGGGGGTGAGTGTGCCCTTGGCACGGACGTCCTTGAGGACAGGCAGGAGGAGCTCCAGTGTCTGGCAGCTGCTTCACCTCATCTCGTGTCCGTACTGCTTACCCCTGAGGGAGACCCGGATGCACTTGACATCCCGACTCCGCGCTCTTACGCGGAGGCGATAGAGGGTCCCTACTCCTCTCAAAGGCTGGCAGCTATGGACACAGAGATGGCTTCCTGGAAGTCCACAGGCACCTACGTTGACGAGGTTCCCCCGCCTGGGGCGAACATTGTCAGTGGCATGTGGATCTTCATGGTGAAGCGGCCGCCGGGTTCTCCGCCTGTCTTCAAGGCACAGTACGTGGCTCATGGCTTCAGTCAGCGGCAGGGAGTTGACTACTTTCATACCTTCTCTCCCACCCCGAAGATGACCACTCTTCGGGTACTGCTGCACGTTGCTGCTCACCGTGACTACGAGCTGCACTCTATCGACTTCAGCACAGCTTTCTTGTAGGGCAGCCTGCACGAGGAGATCTGGTTGCGCCGCCCACTTGGCTTCACTGGGTCGTTCCCTCCTCGTACCCAGTGGAGTCTCCGGCATCCAGTCTATGGTCTCCGCAAGGCGCCACGTGAGTGGCACGACACACTGAGGACTACACTTGCGGCTCTTGGGTTTGCTCCTTCTACTGCCAACCCGTCGCTGTTTCTGCGCACCGACACCTCTCTTCCGCCGTTCTACATCCTCGTGTACGTCGACGACTTAGTCTTTGCCACAGCTGACACTGCTGGACTCGCCCACGTGAAGTCTGAGCTGCAGAAAAGACACACGTGCACAGACCTGGGTGAACTGCGCAGCTACCTTGGCTTGCAGATCACCCGGGACAGAGCACGCCGCACCATTACCCTGACTCAGTCACACATGGTGCAGCAGGTCCTTCAGCGCTTCGGCTTCACGTACTCCTCGCCTCAGGCCACTCCTCTGCCTACTCGCCACTCGCTCTCAGCTCTGCCTTCGGATGAGTCCGTAGAGTCGAGTGGCCCGTATCCAGAGTGTGTTGGCTGCCTCATGTACCTGATGACCTGCACACGACCTGACCTTGCATACCCTCTTAGCATTCTCGCAGGCTATGTTGCTCCTGGGAGACACCGACCAGAGCACATGGCTGCAGCGAAGAGGGTGTTGCACTACTTGTGCAGTACGTCGGGCATGGGGCTAGTGCTTGGAGGGCGCAGTCCAGTGGTCCTCACTGGGCACGGAGACGCTTCTTGGGCTGACGACCAGGCTACGCAGCGGTCGTCTCAGGGTTACACCTTCAGCCTTGGTTCCGGCTCTGTCTCGTGGCGGGCTACTCGCTCGTCTTCTGTTCTCGGCTCTAGTTGTGAGGCTGAGATCTACGCTGGGGCCATGGCTGCACAGGAGCTTCGCTGGCTCACCTACCTGCTGACCGACCTCGGAGAGCCGCCTCGTTCTCCTCCAGTTCTGTACGTAGACAACAAGGCCATGCTGGCCTTGTGTCGAGAGCAGCGACTGGAGCCCAGGACAAAGCACTTTGCTCTCCGCTACTTCCTTGCTCGTGAGCTACAGCAGCGTGGACAGTTGCGGCTTGCGTACGTGGCCTCTGAGGCCAACACTGTTGATGTTTTCACCAAGGCACTTTCGCCTTGTGATCATCAGCGCTTCTGCACTCAGCTGGGTCTTGTCCCTGTCTTGCCTCACCTGCTTACCTCTTGACCTTTCTTGTACTGTTACATATATATATACCTGCTCTTGCTTGTCTAGTCTTATATATACATGTACTCCTGCATGTGAACTGACCTTGTGGCCTTGAACTTGTGCTCGGAAT